ACGAGCAAATAATTTTTATGAACAATTTCTCCAGAAGCTTTATGTTGGTAACTTATTTGTACTCAGAGGAATAGATCTGCATGCTGAGAAGGCATCGTTCTCCCACTCATTAAGGTAGCCATATGTCATGTCATTTTTTTTTTTCTTTTCTTTTATGTGATATTCGCAACTGAAGAACAAATTTTCTCGTTTTTTCATTCTTTTGCAAAAGAAATCTGTGTCGGGTATTATTTATTTCCTAGAGACAATCAAGCCATTGTGGTGATTTATATCACAATGGCCTGATTGAGAATTTGTGAAATATTTAACAGAAGAGTCATTCAAATTTACAGTGGAATTTCTTTTAAGAACAAGAAGTATGATGATGTTTTATATGTTAAACTTGACTTTTTAAAGTTTTAAAGCCACTTATTATACAGTTGTATACATGTCTTTCATATAGAGTTCATATTTTATATAAAATGCATTGAGGTTATGATGTATAAGAGGTTTTTGAATGATCAAGATATAATAATTATTTGATTGTTATTTGCAATTTAGATAATTATTTATTTTACTTGGAACAAATATGCATATACTGTAGCAGTCTTTGTTCCCTTCATATGAGATGTCCGGAGGTGGGGAGATGGTTCCCAGAATGGTTCTTTGAGGAAATTGTAATTAGAGTTTAGCTATTGGTACCTCATAGTTTTTGAGATGACACATTTACATCATATAACTAAAAAATAGATAAATAAATGGTGTGTTGGGGGGAAAAACATCATAATTTTGGCAACTTTGACTTTCTACCTCCAGGCACCTAATATGTATTATACACTTTCTCTTTTAGCTTCTTTTAAAATGTCTAGATTGTAGAATGTTACGTTGCTTTTAAATGTTTGTGAACACTTTATTTCATGCACAAATATCGAATTTTGATATATATGAATTAAAGATCATTGAACTGATGGTAATGTATCTCCATGCATGGTAATCTAATGTAAAATCATTGTTATTTTTTTAAAGAAAAAAATACTTACATTTTAATCTTATCATAAACCACTGGTTAAACGAGAGTACCCATGATAAATTGCATTCAGTCTTTTGTGTCTTTCTATGTATTACAGAAATTGTTTGTAGTGAAGATATTTATAAATCAAGATAGACTATACAAAACCCCCATTGTAACAGCTTAATTGCAGATATAACGTCTTCTTTTAATGTAGATGATAATGTGTTATTTCCATTGACTGCCTTCCAGTTTGGTCGGAGGATTTAGGGTGGTGAGTGTTCAGTGTCCAGATTAGAATCTGACTCTTGAAGTATTTTCTTACTGTAGTGGTGTAGTGAGTGAGGAGTCTACTTATATATATATTATTGTTGCATTTTTATAGCTGTGTTCTTTACTCATCATATGTAAATATGTTTCATATGAAATATAGTATTGTACATTAAAAAAGAGATTTGTTTTAATAATTCCCTCTTCAATCACATCTACAGTAGTCTCATTCTCTCCTAATAGTCTTTTTTTATTGTCACACTGTATATATTATCATTTTCCAAGAATCACTTTGCATGAGAACTAAAGCATTCATAAATTCCTGAGTATAGTTGTGAGTGGAGTACCATTTATAAATATTAATAGCACTTATAAAAGTTTTACTTCCAGTAGTATTTAAAATCCTGCTGCAACTAAAAGGAAAACTGAAAAGAGTTTCTTTTCATTTATTTTATTAAAGAATTCTATATAAGCAGCAACATACACAGCATCACTCGTTCAACGCATTATAAGAATGATTATAGAATTTCCTACTCTTTACCTTTGGGTTTTTGTTCTTGAAATTTACTCTCAGCTCCGTGTTTAGGAACCCCTGAATTGAATCAGTAAACATAGATCATTATCACCAATCAACTTTTCTCTCATTCCCGATAAACTTGCTTTGTTTATTGTGTTCCTTCTTGCCTCCACATTACCATGGTACTGTGTCCTTGTTACAGTGTAAGACTAAGAGGGATGAAGTGAGAATAACAAGAGGAGAGAATTGGAAAATTCAAATATGTGATATCAATTCTTCTAAGTAATCTGTACAATCATATTTTGTGAAAGTCATCATATGTAGTGAAATATGGGTATGGAGTATCTACAGTATATGCGAAACTTTACACTAGATTATATGTACTACACACTCCAAAATATATGAAATAAAGATTCTTAACCTAATTAGATACACAGTGTATACATCATGATTTATTATGAATTCACGTACAAGTATAGAATCATTAAAAATATATATTTATAAAAAAAAACACAGATAAACCCTAATATACATCATGATTTATTGTGAATTCACACACAATTGTAGAATTATTAAAAATTAAAAATTAAACAAAAAAAAAAAGAAATATTTATAAAAAAGACGAAGATAAACCCTAATATCCACATCACTATACTTCATCCGTGAGTAACGAAACGACGGTCGCAATGTCAGGAAGTCCCAATTTGGAAAACTCAACGTTGTTGCTGACGTGCTGGAAGAGATCGCGCTCGCCCTCCTTCAGGAAAGATAAGTCGAGGGACAGTTCCTCCTGGGAAAACGACCTGATCTTGTCCCACGAGTCCTTGGAGCACTGAGGACTGAGAGCTAAGCAGTCACCTTCAGAGCGGCCGTGGTCCCCTGCAGAGGATAAGGAGGGGGTGGGGGAAGTTGCTGCCGGAGACCAGCTCTCGAGGGCCGATCTGGAGGGAGAGAGAAAAAGAGATGATGAATATGATTGCCAGAAATACCCTAGGGAGACGGTGAGAGAAATAGATCATGAATGATAATATGGTAGGTTTGGTACTTTACCTATGCCAATCAAAAGCCAACTGACTTCTTTTATGTCATATGTCTTTGTACTATTAACTAATATATTTAAAATAATTTTATATAAAAAATGTTTTTATACTGAATGCTTGAAATCAAATAGAAATACAGGATTTATAGTGAAATTCCGTTGTTATTGTCGTACCTTTCTTACATATATAACTAATTCTTACCAAAAAATACAGAAGTTCCACATCAATGTATTCTTTGCCAGAAAAAAAACAGAAGACATTCCTACCCCAAAAACGAAGAAAAATATAAATCTTAAAAATACGAACTTTCATTTAACCCACTTACGTAAAAATCTCAGCAAAGACTTCTGCTAAAACTAACGATTCGTCTGACTCCCTGGCTGTGTCAAGGCGGACGACCTCCTTGTTGACTTCGCAGACGACCCTCTCGGCGCATTCAACAGGCCCTTTTGACAGTGTCCAATATGTCCTATATGGAGAGAGAGAAAGAAATATAAGGAAAAGAGATTACTCTCATTTTATTTTTCTCTTGTAATTTTTACTTTCTGTTGCACGATTTTAATGGTATCTTCAAAATACGGCGTGTAATGCATTTGTATTGTGAAAAGACGGGTCACGTGACAATAAATGAATTACAATGATAAAGAGCAAACAAAAGCCAAGTAAAAAAATAGATTGATAAATGAGAGGGAGACAGAGAGAGGGGGGGGGATTAGAGAGTGAGGGAGTGGGGAGAGTTAGAGAGAGAGAGAGAGAGAGAGAGAGAGAGAGAGAAGAGAGAGAGAGAGAGAGAGAGAGAGAGAGAGAGAGAGAGAGAGAGAGAGAGAGAGAGAGAGAGAGAGAGAGAGAGAGAGAGAGAGAGAGAGAGAGACAGACGAGAAAGAAAAGTAATCCTCTGTCACCCTGGAGGACTCACTTTAGAAACAGAAGAGCGACGTCGGCGACCAACACCTCCTCCTCCAGCTGCTGACGATGTCGCTCCCTCCACTCCCTCTCGACCTCGTCCTCCAGCTCTCGTTTCTTTCTTCCTCCTAAGTGAGAGCAAGGGTGAGGTTTAGGTTACTTTTCGAGTGAATGGGAAAGTTTATAAGTTTGTAGGTTTATATTTCATCCATAAGTTCGGTTTATTTTAGTCTTGGTACTGCACGTCGAAAAAAAAACAGATCTTATTGTACATAAAGAAATAAAAGGTATTGCTTGAACTGCCGAAAGCCAATCAAAATCTAAACAATCAACCAATAAACTAATTTCAAACAACAAACTATTTTAAACCACCCAAAAGCCATTCAAATCAAGAAATCGACATTGCCTCCAGAGAGCGAAACGGCGCGTCCTCACCCATGCCCGGCGGAATCGACACTGTGTTCGAATTCTCTTGCCCGGCGTTGCTGTTGGCGAGGTTGATGTTGCCCAGATTGTTGTTGTTGTTGTTGTTGTTATTGTTGTTGTTGTTCAGGTTATTGTTGACGTTGTTGACAATCTGTGAAGGTGAGACTGATTTAGTTTTTTTAGGGGGTATATGTATATTTTAGAGAGAGAAATTGATGGATAGGTGGGCGTATTCAAAATGAAATGTATGTAGAGGGGTATATTCAGAATAAATCATGTACGAACGAAGGAGAAACAAGAACTATAATGTTTTTTCTTCGTGTTCTTCTTCTTCTTCTTTTCCTTCTCTTTCTTATTCTTATTCTTTTCCTTCTCCTCTTTCTTCTTCTTTTCCTTCTCCTCTTTCTTCTTCTACATTTTCTCCTTCTCTGTCTTCATCTTCATCTCCTTCTTTTACTTCATTCTCACTAAACCCACTTCCCAGGAGGCTTGCTTACCTGACTCACGATGTTGACGACGCCCAAGAGGAACCCGACGAACCCGTAGGTGTTGAAGCCCGGGTCCCCGAAGTCCCCGCACTCGCCCTTGTCGCCGTCGGGAAAATAGACCAGAGGAGGAGCTTCGGTCGTCGTGGTGGTCTTCTTCCTCTTCCCCTTGGTCGTCATAGCCTCTCCGGACCTCCTCGTGACCCCAGGTTGCGAGAAGAGGCCGAAGGGATCCAAGAAAGAGGAGAAGAAGGAGGAGGAGGAGGAGGGGGAAGAAGGAGGTCGGGAAATCTTACGCTGAGGAGGAGGTGGTCTCCTGAAGCTCGCCATTTTTGCGTGGGGGATCGGGAGGCGGGGGGCGTGGGGTGCCATGGGGTAGGGGAAGGCACTGGGCATGGGTCCGTGGGCAGCGAAGGGCAGAGAACGGACGACTCGGGTGTGAGAGGTCGTCCACGTGGTCGTAGGAAGGAGGTCGAGGCCCGTGGTGTTTGTGACGACCGCCGAGAGGGACGCCATCGCGGTTCGGGGGAAGAAAGTGCGCTGAAGGAGGGAGGTTAGAGTTGTTTATCATTCAGTAATTATGAATATGATGACGTCATGATAATACTGATACTTGTGATAATAAGAAAGACAATGATATGATAATGATTTTAGTAATGGAAATGATAATAGTGATGCTAATGCTAATGATAATAATAATGATCAAAATTTATAATAATGATAATGATAGTCATGGCAACAATTATAATAACAATAATGTAATAACAATGATATTAATGACAACAGTAATAGTAAGGATAACAATAATAATTGTTATCATTATAATAGCAATAATGATATTGATAATAATAACAACAACAACAATAATAATTATAATGACTATAATAATAATTCTAAAAATAAAAACAATGAAAATAATAACAATAATAGTCATGGTGATAATGATATTAGTAAAAATGATAATAACCATACTGATAATAATAATAGTAATAATAATGATGATGGTAACGATAATGATAATGATAATGGCAATGATAATCATAATGATGATAATAATATTGATAATAATAACAATAGTAATAATAATAATAGTAATAATAATAATAATGATGATGATGATGATGATGATGATGATGATGATGATGATGATGATGATGATGATGATGATGATGATGATGATGATGATGATGATGATGATGATGATGATAATAATAATAATAATAACAATGATAATGATAATAAAAAAATTATGATAACGATTATAATAATGATATGCAATATATGAAGCAATGATTCATATATTACAATAACACTGATAATAGTGATAATAACAATGACATTATAAGTTCACCCATAACAGCATAAATAATCCTAATAATATTAAGCTCGTATTACATATTATCGCGTAAACAATAATGATAATAAGGTATAATCAAATCATATTCAAAATATAATCGTGATTTAAAACATAATTGAAAAATATAATCTTAATCTAAAACATAATTGTAATCTAAAATATAATCGTAAAGCGTAAAATATGATCATATTGTAATGAATATGATAATATCTATATCAACTTTCTTTCAGTACTTTACTGCAAAATATCAGCTTTTCAGTAACCATTCTTCAGAAAACATTGTAATTATAAAGATCATCATCATTATCATTCTTGAAATTAATCAACTTGCCTCACAATCATGAATTCTATCAACAACTAGACTTCAAGAAATCACCGTAATTATTAATATCATCATTATCATCCCCGTAATTAATCAACTTACCTTACAATCCTGAAACATGTCATCAACACGCACAATCCCACACAAACACAAGTACTCACGTTTCCCTTCAGAAGTTCGATGTTCTCTGGAGTTTCTGTGGCGTGAGGTGAGGGCTGTGAGGTGGGGAGGGAGGGGCGTCTGCGGGGGCGTGAGGGGGGAGGGGAGAATAACGGAGAGGAGGAGGGGGGAGGAGGAAGTACGGAGGGAGAGGGGGGCGAAGGGAGGGGAGGTGGGAGAGAGAGGGAGGACGTAGAAGAGGAGAAATGAGGGGAAGAGAGAGAACGCAACAGGGAGGGGAGAGAAGGCGAAAGGAGGCAGAAGAGAGGAAGAGGGAGAGGAGGCGAGAAGAGAATAGAAGGGACGAATTAACGGAGGGGAGGCGTGGAGGGGGGAGAATAACGGAGGAGGGGGGAGGGGGAGGCGTGCGGGGAGAGGGGGCGCTGAAGAGACGCTTTACTGACCAGAGAGCTCAGTGTTCGTTCACGGTGCCTGGTGTAGGATCTGCTGACGTGACGGGTTCGTGTGCTTCTACAGGACGTCACATCGAACACAAAGTTCTTCCTCCGAGGACCCATGGCGAGTCTGGCATCACTCCTGCCGTCGGTGGACCTGTCGACATCATGGGGCGCCTCCCACCACGCCTCCTTCAGGAGCGGCCTCTCTAACCTCTCGAGGATCTACGCGGAGGACTCGACACGATGGCTCGACAGCCTCGCAGGAACCACCGGCTTCGAGGAGATCGTCCACCTCAAAAATATCCTGCTGAACCTCTCCCAGGATCTAGAGGCGCTGAGCGAAGACTCCGGAGATCACCAAAACGGGCGTGTCGATCCCGTAGATTTTAACGACGGTCGAACATCTATGCCTGGAGTTCCGGAAAGTGGGCGTGAAGTTCCCGTAGGTTTGGGCGGACGTCGGATTTCAGGTAACGACTCGATGGAAAGCAGAACGAGGGAGATCAGGTCACCTCAAGTCCCAGGTCGTCACCCTTACTTCACCCCGGCTATGATGAGGCAGATGGCCGTGTCCCTCCCGCAGTTAAACAAGAATTCAAGATACAGGTAAGTTTTTGTTTTCCTTTTCCTCCAGATCCGTCTCTAAATATAACATATATGTATGCGTTTACGTACAAGAGTCTTGTATTCATTCATGTATACCTTTTCCAATCGCTCATGTACACGTTTTACATCTTATATCACATACGTACATAAAAATAATCTTATACTAATAACTAGCCCCATTCCCACCTCCAGCAGCCTGAAGAAAAGGAGAATGGAGACCGACGATGACGACGAGAAGACCAAGAAGAAGAAGAAGGAGCGACCGCCCGTGATCTTCGTCCCGGAGGAGAAGCCCGAGTGCATCAAGACGGGCCAGATGTCTTCCTTTGGCTTCCTCTCCTTCGCTCTCGCCAAACATCATCAACGTCGCCAACAACGTCAACAACAACAACAATAACAATAATAATAACAATAACAACAACAACAATAACGACAACAATATCAACATCGCTAATAACAACAACAACGTGAACAGCGGCAATGAGGTAAGAAATCGCAAAATCGTTTGTTTACATTTCGATGGTCATTGGCGCGGAACTCTACGGACTGAGTTTGCCACATTTCACTTTAATCCTTCTTTAAAAAATAAATTTAAGACAATTTATACTATAAATCGCGTACGAAATAACGTATATACCAGTATATAGAAGAAATCATATGTAAATATTATAAGAAACAATATACAATAAATCGTGTGGAAAATATAAATCAATACATACTGCAAATCATGAATAAAAATGATATAAACTAACTTACACAACCAATCACAGGCAAAATAAAAATCACATAAACTAAAACTATAAATCACAGGCGAAATAAATCATATAATCCAACACATTCAGTAAATCATGTATTCAATAAATCCTACAACTCATATGTAAGAACCAAGTACCTGATGATCCTTCTCTGTAGGTCATGGTCGGCCGCCGCCTTCAGCGCCTCCTGCAGCTCAAACAGCGCCTTCAGGAACACGTGAGTCGGAGTCAGCGGAGATCTCGCCGCTGGACCCAGCCTTTGCAGGTACGTTTTTATCTTGTTCCTTCTCTATTTCTCTTCTTCGTAATCGTATTCTGATCTTTATATTGTAACAATAGGATTCGTCTTCTATGTGCGTTCGTTATATATATATTTTTTATTCGTATTGAATTGCTCATTTAAAGGTCTTTGGTAACGTTGGTTAGTTCGTTAGTTAGTTTGTTGGTTAACAGGATCATGTACCGAATCAAGGATTTTTTTAATGATTGCATCGGTTATCCCTAATGCCTTGGCGGAGGTATGCGGTCTCTGAGTTCTTCTAGTTAATTTGTTTTTGTTTGTTCTTGTTCTTCGCTGGTGGTGTTATTGTTATTTGTTTTTGTTTGATGATGGTGTAATTATTTTTGCTATTGTTGTTTTTGTTACTATTGCAATTGTCATTGTTATTACTGTTGTTGATGAGAGTTAGAGAGAGAGAGAGAGAGAGAGAGAGAGAGAGAGAGAGAGAGAGAGAGAGAGAGAGAGAGAGAGGAGAGAGAGAGAGAGAGAGAGAGAAGAGAGAGACGAGCACGAGAGATAAGAAATGTAAATAAATCTTAAATGAGAAATATCGAAAGCCGTATTTTCCCCCAAGTGACTCACCGAGAGAAAGGAAAGTTCGCGTTTTTGCGTGAGTGCGTATGTGCGTGAACAACTCCCAAAAAGACAGTCAAAAATATTCATTATTACCCCTCGCCATGCAACAGTATATCCCAAGTGCATTTTTAATGTGACTTTTCTTTCTATCATTTTAAATATCAAATCATATCAAATAATTATTAATTACCCAAGGAAAATGTATTCAAAATCTCTACTCTTTAAATAGATCAGACCTTGTGCCCTCCGTGAAGAAACCTGTTATATATATATATATATATATATATATATATATATATATATATATAATATATATATATATATATATATATATATATATATATGTGTGGTGTGTGTGTGTGTGTGTGTGTGTGTGTGTGTGTGTGTGTGTGTGTGTGTGTGTGTGTGTGTGTTATATATGTATATATTATATATATATATATATATATATATATATATATATATATATATATATATATATATAATATTATTTTCTTTTTCTTTTTTAAGATTTTTTTATCTTTTGATCTATTTCTATTTCTTTATTGCCACTATTATTAACACTACGGCTACGACTGCGGAGCGCTCACTCGGGGACAGATATCAATCGCCGGGTGGATTAGTGGCGTCACCGGAAAGGGCACTCGGCCTGGACTAAGCCTGAAGGGAAGCGCGTGCCTCCGCAGAAGCTCTTCACTCGCCGCCCTCCGCTCGCCCTCCAGCCTTCGCCTCTCCGCCTCCAGACACTCCATCAGCGCTGCAAGGCCCTGGCGCGCCTCGGGCGACTTGCTCTGGCTCTTGAAGAACCATTTCCTCGTTGCCGAGGGCATCTTGGGGCCCTCGAACAGCTGGCAAATGAACAACATTTGCGTGGACATGACGTCCACCGAACCCTTGGTCACCGTCATAGACTTCGGAATGGCCAAGGTGAGCGGGACGACCATGGCGGTGCCGTCGCTTGGGAGGAGGATCTGCATTACGCCCCCGAGATCTGCAAGAACGAGACACTGGGCCTCCACCGAAGTGCCAATAGATGCTTGCACCCCCGAGGAGGAGGCACTCAACTTTTGCAGATCTCGGGGGCGTAATGCAGATCCTTCTCCCAAGCGCACGACACCACCATGGTCGTCCCGCTCACGTTGGCCATTCCGAAGTCTATGACGGTGACCACGGGTTCGGCGGACGTCATGTCCACGCAAATGTTGTTCTCCTTGATGTCATTATGCGTGAAACCCGCCTCGTGGACGCCGGCGAAGGCCCTGGCGATCTGCAGGCCGATGGAGGCTCGAGCGACAGCCACTCAGGCGGTCAAGGGGGCGCCATAATGCGTCAACAGGGCTAGCTCGTCCGGACACACGCCTACGAGGCGCTGGATGCCTTCGGTCCCGTCAAGCAACTGAAGGAACTGAAGGAATTCCGAAACGAGTCCACGTCGTGTGAGATCTTAGTGACCAGAGCCTTGTGAGGTTGAGCAAAGCCTCGCCGAAAGCGCCCTCGCAGAGCACCTTCGGGTTGCCCCTTCCACGGCCAGCAGCTCCTTTCGGGAAAGAACAGGCAACTCGCACTCTTCGCGCACCTTCCTCAGAAGCGCCGCTCCCGCCTGGGTCGGGCGCCGGTGCAGCTTGCTGATCTGCCTTGACTGCGGACTGGCAGTCCAGGAACTGCTGGGTTTTGGATGTCTGTCGCGAGGGCGTCTGGGGGATCTGCTCCGTGACACGACAGCGTGAGGGCTGCTCCTACTCGCAATCCGCCGCCTTCGGCTTTTCACAGCCGAGGGGCGCGGTTTCTGCAGGTTCCTCGCGTTGCGATTCTTCACCAGGCGCTTCGGCTCAGGAACTTGGACTTGGACTGATCGCACGAGAGTCCGAGGATCTCGTTGAGCATCGACTCCAACTCACTAGAAGGAGCAGATGCTCTCTGCGTGCCCACCATCTCTGGATTTTTTTTTTTTTTTTTTTTTTTTTGGGGGGGGTTTAGTGAGGGTCAGCGGGGTACCTTGGCGAGGCGTAAAGATCTAACAGTGTAAAGTGCTCATGTGTGTGAGTGTATGTGTATATCTGTGTGTATGTTGATAGATTGTTAGATAGATGTGTGTGTGTGTGTGATTGTATGACTGATGGATTTATGTGTACAATTGTGTATGTCTATATTTGCATGTGTGTGTGACTGTGTGCATGAGATGTGTGGTGATGTGTAATTGTGTGCGCGTGTTGTGTCATGTTGTGTTGTGTGTGCAGTGTGTGTGTTGTGTGTGTGATCGTTGTGCAAGCGGGCATGTGTGTGTGTGATGTGTGCGTGAGGGCGTCTGAGAAGGAGAGAGAGAGTGTGCGTGGTTGTGTGTAATTGTGTACTTCCAGGCATGTATGTGCGCATGTGTCTGAATGTGTACATGTGATTGTGTTCGATAGGGAATATGTGTGTGTGTGAGAGAGAGATTGTGCAAGTTTGTGCAATCCCTCTTTCTATCCATTCCTTCCACGCTCTTCCCCATCCTTTTCCTATCCATTTTCTATCTATCTATCTATCTCGAACACCCCAACACCACAATCCTCTCTCTCTCTCTCTCCCTCTCTCTCTCCAACACCAGCACTCGACGGAGGGGAAGTGGGCGTGTCCAGGAGGCGGAGCGTCGTTCAAGATCCGGGGTCTGTTGGCAGTCGCGTCCCTGCTCGAGCTCTGGCAGGAGGCGGTGACGGAGGAGGAGACACAGTGCATCGCCTGGAGGTATTGCTGGATCGCCTGGAGGTATTGGGGGTGGGGGTGGGGTAGGTAGGGGGTTTATGGATATTTGTGGATCGCCTGGAAGTATTGGAGGGGTGGGGTGGGGGTGGGGGTGGTAGGGGGAAGGTTTATGGATGTTTATGGATGTTTGTGGATGTTGTAGAGATGTGGGAGAGAGAGGTATGGTAGGTAGGTAGGAGGGAGGAGGAGGGAGAGAGGGAGGGTGGGATGGGTGGGTGGATGGGTTGATGAATAGGTAGATAGATAGATAGATAGATAGATAAATAGATATATGGATAGACAGATGGATGGATGGATGAATAGATGGATGGGTGGATGGATAGACATAGATTAGATTTATCGATATATAGTCAGACAGATAGATATACAGATAGATAGATAGAGTGAAAGAAAAAAAGAAAAAAACAGACGCTGCCAAAACGCAATCAATTAATCTTTTGTCCCAAACCACAGATTTTGCGCCACCTCGAGCCACCTCAACCAGGCAGGGGGCGTGGCCTCCGCGGTGGGCGTGGTGGGGATGCGAGCCGCCGCCCACCTGCTGGCCGAGGAGAAGGGCGTACGCGAAGAGACCCTGGTGTGGGCGGCCTCCCAAGGGCAGAGCGACCCGACGGCGTGTGCGAGGGCGTTTCCAGGCTGCCCGAACCGGCGAGATAAAGGGGGAAGAGGAGGATAA